ACACTACACACACACACACACACACACACACACACACACACACACACACCAAAAAAAAAAAAAAAAAAAAAAAAAAAAAAAAAAAAGACAGATGCTCCCTTAGGGTGAAAGGATGGAAAAAAGTATTTCAAGTAAGTGGATCAAGGAAACAAGCAGGTGTCACTTGTTCTAAGATACAACAAAATAGACTTCAAGTCAAAATTAGAAGAGAGGGTCATTTCATACTGATAAAGGACTAAACTACAGTGCTAAGCATGTACATACCATACAGGGGCATGTAAAACAAATGCTACTAGCTATAAAGTCACAAATTAACCCAGACACATGATACTAGGTAGCATCAGTACCCCACTCTTGACAATTGATAGGTTATCTTGGGGGAAAAAATCCAGAAAAATATCTGAATTAAAATGATGCCATCAATCAAATGGATTTAATAAATATCTAAAGAACATTCCATCCAAAAACAGGAGAATACATATTCTCAGGAGCCCGTAGAACACATATTAAGACACAAAACAAGTCTTTACAAGTATAGGTACATTGAAGTAATTTTAATGGAACTGCTTTGCAATTTTTCCAAGATAAGGAACTGGACTAGAACATATCTCCATGTAATAAAGGCTATTATTAAACCTACAACCAAAATTTACTAAATGGGAAAAATCTCAAAGCAGATCCACTGAAATCAAGCACAAGATAAGGATGTCCACTCTTATTCAATATAGTTCTGGAAATCTTTACTAGAGTAATATGAAGAAATCAGTAAGTGTTCTTATTTGCAGATGATCTGATTCTATACATAAAAGACCCTAAAGACTCCACCAGAAAGCTCTTGGGTCTGATAAACATTTTCAGCAAAGTGGCAATATTTAAAACAAACACAGCAAAAAGCACATAGCTTTCTATATACCAAAGATAAACATGTTTTTAAAAAGTAATCAGGAAACAATCCCATTCAAGGTTGCCTTAAAAAATTGTGGATGCTGGGCATGGTGGCGCATGCCTTTAATCCCAGCACTTGGGAGGCAGAGGCAGGTGGATCTCTGTGACTTCAAGGCCAGCCTGGTCTAATAGTGAGTTCTATGCCAGCTGGGGCTACAGGGAGAGCCTGTCTCAAAAGGACCAAAAAAAAAAAATATGTATATAAATCTTTGAATCCAACAAAGAAAG